CCTGCGAGTCCCCCTCCGTCGTCAGGTCGATGGTGGCCACGGGCACGGCTGGGCGCCGCCTGGAGCTCTGTGGGGGTGCAGGGGGGGATAGCGTCAGCGGGGAGAGGGGACCATGGCACCCCCAAACCCACAGACCAGGAGCAGGGAAGGGGAGCCAGGGATTGGAAGGGAAGGCCCAGGACTGGGGAGTCTGAGGGAGAAATGCTCGGCTTTTACTCGCAAGTCGCACAGAAAGTGGTGTGTGACTTGCTCGCTTCCATTTTCCTATCCCAAATTCATCCCAGGGGGATCAAAGCACCCAGTTCAATAGCACACAGCCCTGCTTTGCAGGGGAAACTGAGGCACAGAGAGACTGCGGTCAGCCATGGCCACGGCACAGCAGAAGTGCAGGTCTCCAGAGCCCAAGGGAAGCTCCAGCCTCATGCAGACCCCCACCCGCAGACCGCCCGCAGCCCCCTACCCGCAGGGGAGTCGGCAGGTCCCGCAGGGTGTCCACGCTGTTGGTCTCCTTGATCCTCATCTCATGCCGCGTCTGCCCCGCCTGGAAGATGAGGCGGACGGGGGGCTTCTGCCTGAGGCTGCTCTCCCACCCTGCGCTGCCCCGGGGCCGCACCTGCAACCAGAGCGAGGAGGTGACACGGGGAGGTGACACGGCCGCAGGGATGGGGACAGGGATGGGGACAGGGACAGCCCACGCTCCTTGGTGTCGGGCACTGGCAGCACCGCAGCCCTGGGGATGGGGGCACAGGGGAGGCTGCAGGAGCCAAGCCCCTCGGTGTCACCATGCACATCACGGCCGTGACCGTCCTGGGCATGGCACCCTGCTCACATCGTGGGGGTGCTCACATAAACGTGGGGGTGCTCTCATACACTGGGTGCTCTCACACATGGGTGCTCTCTCACACACATGGGTGCTCTCACTCACACACACACTGGGTGCTCTCACACATGGGTACTCACACACACACATGGGTGCTCTCACACATGGGTGCTCTCACACACACACATGGGTTCTCTCATACACTGGGTGCTCTCACACACACACACTGGGTGCTCACACACACACACCAACACACATGGGAGC